GTGTCGGTGGCGGGGAGGGGAGAGGGGAGGGTCCCCGGAATGGGCATTTAGGTTCGGCATTACTGTCAGTATCGCGACGCGTACTGTGTGGGTGGGTGGTTAACAAGAGTCTGGATTATAAACGTCTCGAAACTTCGATACGATATAAATTGTTTAAAAGGTGTTTAACTTCGCGACCAACTCAAACATTTTTATTATTATCATCATCATCATCGTGTTGTTTAGGGTATTCGTTTGTCTCGATTGTAAATTTTTTTAGTTAGTTTCGAAACAATCAACGACGACGACAACAACAACCGAGATCGAACAACATTGAAAGATTTTCCGGATAATATTACGGGGGGGTGTGTGTGAATAAAACAATCGAATGGAAAATTAATATTATTATTATTTAAACATCATTTTCTATAACTGATAAATCGTTAATAAGGTCGTTCCCTCCCTCCCATTCTCGCGGTATCGTCATGAAAATTTTGATAAGAAAATCATTTACTCGTTGAGAAAATTTTATATCATCTCGAATTTTTCTTTATATATATAAAAATATTTTATTTGTCTCAGGCATGCATGCACACCCCTCATCATCATCATCATCATGAGAAATCGGGTAATTAAGGTAAAAATGTAAGACCTTGAAGAATTTCCGTTTTGTTGAATTCAAATTAATAAAATTATTTTCCACGTAATTGTTTATATACGTAAGTCATTCGTGAACGCCAGATATTCAAAAAAGGGAAGTTTGTGGAAAACCTTTGACACGACGAGTTTTCGGGAAAACAAAAAGAAAAATGCATTTACCTTTTTTGTATTTTTTTGTTTAATCCAAGGCACACACACCTAATCATCCTCCTCCTCCTTCGGTTGTTTTAGACTTTTGTTATTTTTGATAAGGCATTCCCCAAAAAAAAAAAAAAAAAAAAAAATATTTGACGGTGTGTAAACGATTATTATTATTATTATTCTCTATGACTTCCTTCCGTTAGCCTTGACCATGACGTTGTGGGAAAATTTACTCTCCTCACGTCCTTGTTTTACCATATTCAGGTGCAACATTAATTTTTTTATCAACCAAGAAACACCTAAAAACAAAAAATTTACCATCATTATCATCGTTTATCATGGAAATACGTAATATAGAATTTTGACTTGAGATTTCCCCTTTCCCTCTCCCCTCCCCCCAAAAAAATCGAATTTTTTTTTTTTTTTTTTAGGACTTTTTGTTTCCGCGTAGACACAAACTAATGATAAGAAAATTATGTGTGTGATAAGAGAGATACACAAGATGATTATAACCTACATTTGCAAAAGTATCAAATACTAAGAGTTTTTTTTATCGTTTGTTGTTTGTTGTTGTTTGTTTTTATAACAAAGTATTTAAAAACAAATTAAGTTCGGTAACGAAAAAAAAAAAAAGTTTTTAATTAATATATGTATATTCATTTAGACTTTGGTTTCTCTATCGTTAAATTTATTTGTTACTCGTGTTACTTTTAACGGAAGAAAAAAAAAAAAAAAAAAAAAATTTAAATTCTTCATGTCGTAATAAAACATTCAATACTAATAAGAATATTAAATCGAATACTTTAGATAATATAAAATTACAATTAATTTTCTTATCCGAAAAAAAAAGTCTGCTCGATGATGATGATGATGATTTTCATTATAAATGATACAAACACGCGCACGTGCACACGTGCACATGCACGCACGCACGTACACGCACATTTTCGACAGAACGTATTTATCCAAAAATAATTTTTTTGAATTTTCCCAAAAGAAGGAACATTTGACGCTTTCCCTCCATCCATAAAAATAAATTTACCGTACAGGTATATTTTTAGGTACATAATTTCAATATTAATTATTAATGACGCGACTAATCGGCCTAATTTTTAAGATAGATAGATAGATAATTTCGATTAGTTTGATAAAAAAATGTCGTTAGTCATGGTAGGTTTTTAACCTAAAACGAGTTTTAGGTTAAAAAGAATCGAAAAAAAAGTAGGTATTATATATGTATAGGTGCTAAAATAATCGTACCTGGCGACTTTGAAAAAAAACCTCTTGACATTTTTATTGCCTTCTTTTTTTTTTTTTTTTATTCGAGTTGGAATTTTTTTCTTATCTTGACATTGTCTTTCTTAGAAAAGAAGGTATATGTACAGGCCAGACGCGGACGCATTTATTTATTGCTGAAAATAATAATAATAATAATAATAATAATAATAATAATAATAATAATAATAATAATAAATGCTTTGAAAATGTTTCGAAAGAGAAAATGAAAAGTTTTAATAATATATATATATATATGCGAACTCGACTAATTAACCGTGGTTTTTTTCGGGGGGGGGGCCTATTTCCCTCTCCCGCCTCCTCCTTTTCCCACCTTCTCCTCGACAACCAACGGAATTTGGTTTTTTTCTTTGTTTTTTTTTTTTTTACAAGTTAAAAAAAAAAAGAAAATATTTTTATGTAATTATATATGACCTCAGCACCATATATTCCATCATTCATTCCTCGTTTTCTAATCATCATCATCATTCATTTTAGAAAATTCAGGTTTTCTTTTTTTTTATTAATATTTTTCGATTACGGTCGTCGTCGTCGTCGTCGTCGTAAAATTTATAAATTAATAATCACAATTATTATTAATTAATTAATTAAATAATTAAATAATAATTTTTTTTTCTTGTGGTTAAATAGAAAATGAAAACGTAAAAAAGGTTTTACTTGTAGAAAAAACCAAACCAAAATAGATGGCGATGATAATAATAATAATAATGAAATACCTGTACGATAAATCAGATCGTTCACCTGAAAAAAAATTAAAAAGAATGGCTTTGCTCAGGTACTGGTGGTGTACACCACCACCCTTTTGTACCTGAGCAAAAGGTAGAAAGAAAAAAAAAAGGGGGAGGAAACACTGTCTTGACTTCCTTTTCTAAAAAAAAAAAAATTTTTTTATTTTTTTTTCGAATACGTTACGCGAGTTAGTTTGTCACCCCGTAAAAAAAATTATATTCCTATTTTTAAATTTTTTTTCGTATGGATAATAATAATAATAATAATAATAATAATAATAATAATAATAATAATATTTTTTTGTTAAGTAGTTGCGAACGATTCGAAATCGACAATAAAACGATGAGATGATATTTTAAATAAAATTTTATTTTATACTATTATTATTATTATCGGGTAAAAGAGACGTAAAGAGAAAAATGAAATTGTTAAAAAATTACTGGTAAGTATTATCATTATTATTATTATTAAAAAAATGAGAAAAATTATGAAATCCGTATAAGAGAGAGAGAGAGAGAGAGAGAGAGAGAGAGAGAGATGCGTAAAAAGAAAATTTTTTCGGATGAAAATGATGAGGGGGGGGGGAGAAAAACAAAAAAAAATTTTTTTTTTTTACCTTTTTTATTATTATTAATTTTAGGCCTAGAAGAAGGTCGGGATCGAGTTTGGTCGTGGTAGATGATGAACCATTGAAACATTCACCGATTGAAGAACAAGATGATGCATACAATATGATGATGACAATGCTAGACAATGGTCCACATAGAGAGCTTCCCGTGGATGTACCCGATTCTTTTATTGCCATTAGCAAAACACCACCAAGATATCCACCGCCAAGAACTCAGGTGAATAAAAAAAGGTTTACCCCAAAACCTGAAATGAAATGAAAAGTTGTTGAAGAAGAACAAACTAGTTAAACAATGTAAAAAAATTTTTTTTTTTTTTTATTGTTTGTATATATAAGTAGGCAAACAAACAAACGAAAAAAAAAAAAAAAAAAATGTCGTCGTTCTAATATTTCTAGAATAATTTTCAATTCAAGGATATATATTTTACGGTTCCAAAACCGATATAAAAACATCATCAAGGTGGCATATATGTGAGAATTTAAAAATTGATTTAATAATGACCGCCATATTTTTTGTTTTTTTTTTTTTTAGGGTTCATCACGCATGAACGGTTTGGCTAAACCTATTCCTCCACCGAGAGATCATTTAACAATTGAAAAAGATGGGAGACTGATGAATAGGTTACCAGCTCCGCAGGTTCCAGCGAGAACTGTTATGACTATCAATAACAATACTCAAAGGGAACCAACCAAGCGGGAAATGGATAGTATTAGAAAATTCGAGGTGAATTTTCCATCAACAACCATTTTATGTAGAGGGGCAAAAAATTAAATAATTGAGAATCGAAATAGAAACAAACAAACAAACAAATCATAAAACATGATCGTTTGTTCGTACAAACGACCTGAGTTGTGGAATTCATTTATTTCAAACATCACAACCTGTAAAAACCGCCGCGCCCAAAAACATATCCATCCAGACGACGGCATTTTTTATTTTTCATTAGGCAAATGAATGAACGCCCCAAATTATTATTATTATTATTTCTTTTTTTTTTTATCCCTTTTCCTCGCGTTAAAAAAGTTTCTTATTGTATTAAATTTTTTTTTTTTTTTTCGGCAGGAACAAATTAGGCAAAGAAAAGAAGAAGAGGAAAGGATAGCAAAACAAAATGAATTTCTTAAAAGTTCAATAAGAAGTTCGAAAAAGCTTCAAGCTGTTGAAAGTAATCCTCCTCTAACCGGAGTTATTAACGATGCCTATTCAGACGAGGAAGGAAAAGATGATGTTGCTGCGACTGATATTGTTCATAAATTTATACGTAAGTTAAATGATATCCCTAAAAACTTTTTATGATAATAATAATATGATGGCGTGTCTATCGTATTAAAATGTAAATCACGAATCACTTAAAAAAACGGAAAGGAAAAGTATACGACATTTGTATGAATAAGACTATAGGCCCTTTGAATGCAAGGCACCATTATTTAGTCATCATTCACAGATTCGACCGTTCGCACATAATATGATAATATAATCTTTAAAAATATTTGTTTAATAAAAAAAAAATTTTCAGTGTACGGAGAATTAGTCGCCGCTTTGCAAAGACTTCAACATCAAATAAAAGAAAATAATGCGCCTTGTTTGGGAAACCTTGAGCCTCAGTTGGCAACAGTACAAGCAATTTTGTTAAGTCCACAATTTGGACGAGCTCTTTCCGTTTGTAATAAAGTCCGAGAAGTAACTTTGTCAAACGAAAAACAATGTTTACCTAGTCCGCAGTCTTGGCAAGCTCAAGAATTGGCTAGAGATGTAAGTGTGTGTGCGTGTGTGTGTGTGTGAATATTTATTAAAACATTAATTGATTGATTGATTGATTAATTTTTTTTTTTTGTAACGGAAAAACAGTGCATTCAAATTCTCGAACCGTGCTCTTTACCAGAAGCTGGCGAATTAAATCAAATATTAACTAGTTATGGTATGGAAGGATTATTATCTGCTCACGATACAATTGCCTCGGGTGATATTGTTGCCTTGGATGCTCCTGCCACAGATGTACTTTTAACATCTGAAGATGCTCATTACATTTCTAAAGAATCTACGGGCATTAAAATTGTTAATATTGACAAAACGAATGAGCCACTCGTACGTATCATATTCACTCTTTAACTCCATCTTTCTTTCTTAAAAAAAAAAATGGTTGGAATGATAATTGTATTTTCCAGGGTGCGACTGTTAGAAACGAAGGAGAAGCTGTAATTATTGGTAGAATAGTTAAAGGAGGAGCAGCTGATAAATCCGGTCTCTTACACGAAGGAGACGAAGTTTTACAAGTAAACGGAGTAGATATGAGAGGGAAAACTATACATGATGTCTGTGATATATTGTCTGGAATGATAGGAACTTTGACTTTTCTCATCATTCCCGGACACACACCTAGGCCCATTCAGCCTACAAACACGAACACTGTCGTACGTTTCTCAAAAATTTATCATAAAATAATTCGATGATACATAATTTAAGTTTGGACATTAACGACGATATCATTTACAGATGCACATGAAAGCTCATTTTGATTACGATCCGGAAGATGATACTTACATACCGTGCAAAGAATTAGGTATCAGTTTTCAAAAGGGAGATGTTCTTCATGTTATTTCTCAAGAAGATCCCAATTGGTGGCAGGCGTATAGGGAAGGAGAAGAAGATCAAGTATTAGCAGGATTGATACCCAGTAGAACTTTTCAACATCAGTGAGTCATTCATACAAGATACATAATAAAAAACGTGAAAAACTGACTAAAAAACTGTTTTTTCCTCTCTCCCCCTTCCCCCTCCCCCCTTGATTGTTATTTTGTAGGAGAGAGTCTCTCAAGCAACAAATAGCTGGAGACAAATTATCAAAGGAAAAAACCAAAAAATCATCAACATTATTATGTGCCAAAAAACACAATAAAAAGAAAAGGAAAAAATCGTCATGCAATGCTTACAATGAAGGAAGTTATCCAATTTATTCCAGTACTTTAGACGGTAAGTATTACAATGTTGTTGGAAAAAAGAAACTTTTTGGAAACACGTGTAAAAAATTTTTTTTAGATTACGACGCGGATGAAATATTAACATACGAAGAAGTGTCTCTATATTACCCCAGATCAAATCACAAACGCCCAATAGTATTAATAGGACCTCCAAACATAGGAAGACACGAATTAAGGCAGAGGTTAATGGAAGATTCCGAAAGATTTGCTGCTGCTATTCCTCGTATGTTTTTTTTTTTTTTTTTTTTTTAACTCTATCATTCTACCTATTTCAATACCATCAATTTCTAATTTCCTTTTTCTGTCAAATAATTAAAGATACGTCGAGAGCAAGAAAAGAATCAGAAGTTGACGGTCAAGATTATCATTTTACATCTCGAGCACAATTTGAGTCTGATATATTAGCTAGAAAATTCGTGGAACATGGAGAATACGAAAAAGCTTATTACGGTACATCGTTAGACGCTATAAGAACTGTTGTGAGTTCTGGTAAAATCTGCGTATTAAATCTACATCCTCAAAGTTTAAAAATATTAAGGAGTTCGGATTTGAAACCTTATGTCGTTTTTGTCGCGCCGCCATCTCTCGAAAAACTAAGGCAGAAGAAAATAAGGAATGGCGAAGCGTATAAAGTAATTTTTAATTTAAACTAACCGTTTAACGGAGAGGGGTGGGTTTGATGATGATGATGATGATTGATTATTATTACTTAATATTACAGGAGGATGAATTGAAAGGTATAATTGAAAAAGCAAGAGAAATGGAAGATAAATACGGACATTTTTTCGACATGATAATAATAAATAACGATACGGAAAGAACGTACTTACAGTTATTAAAAGAAATAAATAGTTTAGAACGTGAGCCACAATGGGTACCAGCATCCTGGGTCAAGGCTGTTTGATTAGTGCTCTTATGGACAATTTGTAAGAAGACATTTTCGATCACCTGCAGAACTGAAACAACAAAATAAAAAAAAAATAAAATCTATTTTTTTAATTACACTTTCAGTTTCTGTCCTTTGGGAAACATTAGAAAAATTGGCACCATCAGAAAAATCAATTTATTATTATCACCATCAGTACCACCATCACCACCACCACCACCACCACCACACTCTGACATTTTCTATTTTGCTCGATGTAAGGACCTATTAAATACTTTAAAGAAAATATTAAAGTACAACACACATTTCGAATATCAAATTAAATTGTATGAAATCATTATATAAAATCATTAATAACACAAATAATAATAATAATAATAATAAGTATGATGAAAAAACTAAAAAGAGGTTATTCGATAATGTGTCTCACACAAACTAAAACAAAACAAAAAGAAGATGAATAATAATAATAATAATAATTTAGATGAAATATATATATTGAAAAAAAAAGAGTAAATGAAATGTTATTTAAATAAATAATTAATTAATTACCTGATTTTATTTAAAAACCAATAATTATTTATTTAGTTTTTTATTTAAAAAAAAAAAATGTAGGAAAAATTAAGCAATATTGTTTTATTATTATTATTATTATTATTATTATATAAAATGTCATTAGGTGAAAAATTGTTATTCGACATTTTTCCTTTTTTTTTATTTATATAGAAATATTTACAAAAAGAAAAAAAAAAAAAGAAAAAAAAAAGAAAATATTATTTAAAATTCTGTCGATCTATTAGTCATTCTTATTATTATTATTATTATTATTACTACCTTTTTTATTAAATTAAATTAAATTATTCAATTTTTTAATACAAACGAATAAAAAATTCTTTTTTTTTTTTCTTATTAGTTAACAAAAAATAAAAAATAAAATAAAAACAACTCGATAAAGTTGTTTTATTATTCTTGGATCTTCCATATTTGTTTAAGCAGAAAGAGACTAATAAAATATTATTTAGTAAATCTTTATATATAAAAAAAACTAAATTCAAATAATACTTATTAAAAATATATATATATATATATTTTAATAGGTGGTTCTAATAATTCGTCCTTATACAAAAAAAAAAAAAAGAGAAAGAAATTTAAAAAAAAAAAAAATCTATCAAATTTTAATTCGTTATTTCTTGTCAATTTAACTTCCTCTTTGTAATTTTTTTTTTTCAATTTTTTTATTAATTTTTTTTTAATATGAAAAAATCACACGTTTCGTTCTTTTAATGTTTAGAGGTGCTTTATTTTGAAATATATTATTATTTCATAATTTGTAAATATTTATTATAAAAAAAAAAAAAATAAATACAATATATTATTGTAATTGTTTAGAAAATATTTAAAATAATTATTATTATGGATCAATTTACCTGTCTTTATAAATGTAAAAAGTTGGTTTCATTTTTGTCCATTTTTCATTTAAAAAAGCCTCCATCTCAAATAATCTTTTAATAACTTTTATTCTCTTCTTCTTTTTCAAATGTTTAGATATTTTTAATTAATTAAATATCAATTATTATATCACAAATTTAAAAAGAAAAAAACACTTAAGAACACAACTGACTAAGCTCTTGCTGTAGCTTTTACTAAAGTAAAAACCCGCGTAAATTTTCGCGCGTAAAAGTCGGTTAGCAACCAATCTTTATTGCAAGTTAAAATAAATTTCATTCTCTTGCAAATTTCAATTATTATTATTAATAATTTATTTTTTTATAAAAAATTGCAAACTACGTCCTTTAATTGTTTTCAATTACGTAATGGTAAGTATTTTTTTAAAATTATTATTATTATAAATTTTTTCAATTTTTATTAGTTCGTTTCAAATGCTTAACCTTTACTTTATCTAATGACGTCACTCGTGACGTAATAATTTTTTTTTTTTTTTAATTTTCTAAAATAATAATTATTACTTTTCTTTTTAGGTTAGTTATTTTATTGATAAGTTTTTTTTTATATAATTGTAATTATATATCGTGTAAATTATTCCGTAAGTTTTAAATTTTTAAAAAGTGTATTTATCTATGTGATTTTTATCCTTAGCTGCCTCCATTTTTGTACTAAACTCATCGCTTAAAAGAAAATGGCGGATATTCCTTAATGAAGAATTGATTTTTATCAAATAAATTGTAAAAAACAATGAAATAAGTTTTGGAATTTCATTATTTAGTACCGGATACGTTATTTCTAGTTTAATTGTGTGAATTTAGTTTTAATTAGGACATTTTGACAGTTTTATTAAATATAATGTAAGTAAACTAACCGGTGGGTAATGAACGCGTGTTCTTTAATTTATTGTTTTCTTTTTTTTTTTTCTAGTTAAATGTATCTTTTAGTTAGTGTATTATTACTTGTGGTGAAAATAATTTTTCATATTTAAAAAATAAAATCAATGATAAACGTTGTTAAATATTTAAATATCTATGCTGACAATTTGTTTTTCAATTAGCTTTTGCAAAAGAGTAAATATTTTCTAAACCAACTTAAATACTATTGGTTTCGGTTTAGGAAAATAAATTTTCAATTAGTTTTATAAAAAAAAAAAAACTATGTGAACCTCTAATTTATTTAGATAATTAAGATAATTTAGAATATTTGATTTATAAATTTGAATTTTTGATTTTTTCTTGTTTCAGAATATACTGCTTTATACAAATTTTTCTTATAGAAAAAAGCTAACTATTTGATTTAAAAATCAAATTTTTTAATTGGAACTTGTATTAATGCAGGCTAAAAAGGATGAGTGAAAAAAGTGAATCTGAAAACTTGGGAAATAATAACTCTGGGAATAACTTTTCGATTGAATCGTTAGGACAGGACAGTAGTCTAATTGCTCAAGACAACATTCAAATAGAAAAGAAAGATAAATTTTCTTGGCAGTTTGGAGAAAATGTTAAAAGGGATTCTTTTGGTTTCATTTTAAGGACTGATCCACTGCCCTTAAATACTGAAAAAACAAAAAAATCAGATAATCATGATAATTTAAATAATATTGACTCTGAAAGGTGCAAAATTGACAAAAAAAATGACAAGAGAAAGAGTGAGGATCGATATGATGAGGGGAAAAAAGATAGAGAAAGGGGAAGAGATAGGGATAGAGATAGGGATCGGGACAAGCCAAGAGATAGGGACAGAAGTCCTCATGGGTATAAAAGGAAGTAAGTATTTATGAAAAACCAATTTTTACAAATTTTTACTTTTTTATAAGTTGACGTAAAAATTAAAAAATGTTATCAGATATTCAAAGAGTCCATCACCTCGTCGTTCTAGACATAGGAGAAGTAGATCAAGAAGTAGAACTCCTCGAGACCCAAGATTAAGAAGAAATCCAGGGAACCTAGGAGACAGAGATAGGAACAGATATAGAAGGTATTCATCTGAAAAGAGTCCAGATAAGGATTCAGATAAAGGGTAAAGAATGTATTTGTTTTATTTTTAATTGTATTTAATTTCGTTGTAATACTTTTACTTTATTTATCACATTAATAATTGTCCTTTAAATTGCTTGTACTTTATATGACACTTAACAAATTTTTATCGTTTAGTGATATAAGAGGTTCTAGTCCCAGAAGAGATAGATCTAGAACCCCTTCTGGATGGAGATCAAGTCACAATCGTTCAGGTCCTGTTGATCCTCGTAATCCTCCAATGAATATAAATAGCTGTCAAGATTACATGCCAATGGTGACCAATTTCCACACTCAAAATGTAAATCAAGTTTCAGCACCTTCTAATAATTCTCCTGGAACCCTTGCTCCTGGTTCAGATGTAAGTTTTTATATATAAATTCTTTTTAATTACATAATTATTGAATTTACCTAATGTTTAATATATATATATATATATATATATATTTTTTTTTTCAGAATTCATTTAATAGGTATCAACCTAGCAATGCTCCTTCAGTGTTGGCACCTCCTCAATATAACTATCAAACTGGTCCGGGTGGTCCTGCCGCACCAGAAGGTTATCCAGGATACGATGCATATTATTCAGGATATCCTCCCCCGCCGACTCATCCTGTAAGTTTTACTTAATAATTTTTTCAGATCAATGAATTTATTTAAATGTACGCAGGTTTAAGTTATAAAATGTAAAAAAAAAACAAATTGAAAATATGGAAACAATTGATTAAAAGACCTTATATTGGTTAGTGCAAATTGGTTATGATTCTCTCCTGAGCGGCAAACTTAGTCTGTAGGATGATTGTAGGCGAGCCTTTGATTAATAAAAGTTATTGTTGTTATCCCGTCAAGATAAACACTAGCTACCAGGTCTGCTGTTATAAATTTAAAAAAAAAAAAAAAAAAAATTGAAAAAAAGTAATTATTTTTCAAAAAAAATAAACCGTTTAATTTTAATTAATATTTTTTATTCACTATTCTCTAAACAGTCGGAATACATTCAATCTCGACCCAACAATTGGTCACGTGACATGAATTCATCGTCTAAAGTTGGATCTGTTTCCATCAATACGGACGATCCAGCCAAAAAAGAAGGTAAATTTTTTTAATTGTCTTTAAATTGTGTTTTACAGTTACAAATAATATATAAAAATTTACTTATTTATTTTTTTTTAAAGCAATCGAAAAAGAATTATTGCAACAGAAAATTACTTTATCTAAACAAAGGGTAGAATATTTAAGAAAAGGAGTTATATTAAATCGAGAATTAGAATTGTTAAAAATTCAAAAGAAAGAACTTATTGGCGATAAGACAAGAGACAGCGAGAAACTTTTAAAAGAAAATAATAAATTACAGGTACGATTTATTAATTTTTTGTTTTGTTTTTAATTCTAACAAACGTTTTAACTAATTTTTTTTTTGTTTTGCTTTCTGTTAAATTTCAGCTTGAAATAGCCAGTAAAATAAAAGCAGTAGATAACGTCATAGATATTTTAACGGGAATAATCGGGGATGAAAGGCCGTCGATAACAATGGAAGAAAAGACGGATGGAAGTAGAGTTTTCGGACGGGATTCTTCTAAAGAAAGGGAAAAAAGTAATTCTAGAGAAAAATCAGAGAAGAAAAAAGCGGAAAAGGTAAAACGGTTGTAATGTTTGCGTGTTTTTTTAAAAATCATTACCGTGACGCGTATTATGCGTACTTGTACCAAAAAAAAAAATTGCGAATGATTATTTAAAATTTTTTATTTATTACATTTTTTTTATTTATTTTTTTTTTTTTTTATTATCGTAAATTAATTAAAAATTGAAAAATAGAGATCTAAAGAATCTTCAGGAAGCGGTGATGATACATCGAGTGATGATTCGACTTCGGATTCAAATACCGAATATAGAAAAAAATCGAAAAAAAATAAGAAAAGAAAGAAGAGAAGAACTGATGAAAGCGACGAAAATCTAGGTAATTCCTTTTTTTTTTTATAGGTTGTCGCGTCCAGTCGTTACAGATTGTCCCCTGTGACGTATAAATATATATATTTATTAAAAATAAACTAAAATTGATTTTTACTTTTTTTTTTTTAAAATCATTTCAGCACCGCCGGGTAATGAATCTAATACGCACGCCGTTGATAATCGTAATGACGAACCCAAACCTTTGTGCAATTTTATTTATTACGATCCGGAAATGCATTGGTGTCAAGTTTGTGATGAATTCCCACGAACTGCTAAAGAATATTTAAATCATCTTCATAGCAAAGAGCATAAAGAATTAACGCAGGTAAAATTTAAAAAAAAAAAAAAAGTCGATCCTTTTTCTTAATCCATGATTAATTTAAAGTTTTTACCATTTTTTCTTTTTTTTTTTTTTTCCAATAGGAAAAAAAATTAAATGACATGCCCTGGCATGATTTAAACGTACACGAAGAAGTACCATTTTACGAAGGGGCTCCGACGAAGAGGATTCCAATAAAAGGTACGTTTTGCACAATGTTTAAGATTTCTTTTTTTTTTTTTTTTTTGTCGTAGAAAAATTTTGATCAATTTCATTCTTTTCTCTCTCTCTCTTCCCTCTCTCTCTATTTTTAATTAATGAAACAAGAGTGAATTTAATGGGAGATGAGATTTCGTTTTAATTAATGCATAATAATGATAACAATAACGACAACAATTATTTGAAATTGCATCGTACAAATCAATTGTTCGATTCATTCATTAATTATTATTATTATTTACTTTGATTTTTTTGAGAATTGAGAAAAAATTTCACCCCGAAAGTTTTTTTTTTTTTTACTGTAATGGATTTGAGTCAGTCGGTTAATATGTCAAATATATTGAGATTGAAATTGGTCAAAATTAGTTTAAAAATGAAAATAGATAGAATTATAATTAAATAAATGGCAGAAAATGTGTTGTATTTAATTCCTACGGGAGTTTCTGACTGTTAAGAGAAAAAAAGGTAGGTTTATAATTTTTAATTTATTTATTTATTAACGTTGCAATATTTTTAAGTATAAAGTGATGGAAAAGTGTAAAAGTAATTTTAAAAAAAAATCAACCCCTTTTTTTTTTATTACTTATTTATTACCCTTATACAGTTATTGTTGTTTTATTTAAGTGGCAAAACTTAATAAATTTTTGGAAAAGGTTTCGTTGCGTAAAATTTGGGCTTCGACTTGTGTGACCTCATTGATTGATTGAAACAAAAAAAATAAAAAATAAAAAAAATAAAAAGTTTGAAGAAAGAAGATGATGTTGTTCAAATCGATTTTACCTGGCATACTTATTTATTTATTTATTTATTTATTTATTGTCTCACATTAATTGATTGTTTTTTTTTTTTTTGTGATTGTTATTTAAAGTGTAAAAAAAAAAAAAAAAAAATTTGTGAGAAGTGTTTTTTCTTTTTTTTTGCATAAAAAAAAAAAAAAAAAAAATTTATGTAAATATTAGAAAAAATATTTCATTTAAAAATTATTGTATGTATATTATAATTATGTATTATTATTATTATGTATTATTATTATAAGAATGGAGTTTGCAGCATCCGAGAGAGAGAGAGAGAGAGGAAGTACTCACTCATCAAAGGGAGTATATAATTTTAGTTGAAGAAGAAGAATTATCATTCTCAACGTGGGGATTATTGTCGCCGAAACGTTAAACAAAGGAAAAAAAATGGGAAGAGAGAGAGAGAGAGAGAGAAAACAAACAAAAAAGGGAAAAAAGGAAAAGGAAAAGGAAAAAAAGGAGAAAAAAAAAGAAGGAAAAAAAAATGATTGAGAATTCATTCGTAAACTTGGAATTAATTTTTTATTAATTCTTGTTCGTAACAAATTGAGAAAAAAAAAAAAAAAAAAAAAACTCTTGAAAATAATATATATGTGAATATAATTATTTTAAGAGTATAAAAGGCATGTCATTTTTCAGCTTTGAAAAAAAAAAACGTTGGAAACACGAATATTGGGGCTATATATATCTATATATATTTATATATATATACGAGAAGATGGAATTATAAAATTAGGGGGCCTGTATAATCAATATGGACAGATAATTGGCCGCCGAATGTTTTTAACAACAATCAAATGGTACAACACGTAAAGAAAAAAGTATTTTGATTTAAAATATATAACAGTCACCGATATACGACATGATGTTTTTATCATAAACTAATTATTTCTCTTTTTCTCTTTTTTTTTTTTTTTTTTGATGTTTTTTTTAGGGTTGCAATTTTTAGTGTCGGCC